CATTTGCGAAGTAGTAACTAATAGCAGCACGATATGTGGTCACATGATTTTTGTGCCCAATCATGCGCCGATCACGTGAATCTTTACAACACAGCTACTAGACGGTGCCACGAGATTGTTCGCTGCAAAATGTTCGGCAATGTGCGCTCAGCAATTTTCCACCCGCACATTGCCAGACAAAAACATTTGTTCGGACGAACATTTGTTCGGGAAAATGTTCGGCAATGTGCACCAGGCTTTAGATACTGTACAAACGGCAAGTAGATCATACACTCAAAAAGAAATCATTTAGCTTTAGAACCGTCAGCGATTGGAATTCCCTGCCCGAAGAAATTGTCATATCAAACACAACTAGAGAGCGCAGACCTCACTCCGCCAAGGCAGCTCAATTGTGTCACTGTGAAAAATTTTATTAATTAATTGGATCCGGATCACCACCAAAATGTAATCAATTCTAAGTTACCCCATTTCTGACCTATCCTGAAAATAAATGGTTAGTATCTAACCCTGCTTTATGTTTAACTGTTGATATATTATCCACTGCTAAGGGCTAAGAGCATTTTCGTGTTACCGATTAGGTTGAATAGCTCACAGAATTCGAAGGAAAACCAAATTTTGTATTTGGTATGTTTTTCCTTAATCTAGCATTTAATTTTCATTAGTGCTCTTTCCCTCTTGTTGTTATTCATAAGTAGCTGAGATCACATTAGAACCACTGTGTACGTGCTAAATACGTTTTCTTAATTGATTGAAGCGTTACGGGCAGAACCCTAGGAATCTCCTACACTATCAGTCTAACTGTGTTAACCCACCTGACGAATTTTCACCACATCATCACTCGCAATTAATGAGATAGTCCCGAGTAGATAGTTCTGAGATAGAGTACAATGAGATAATATAATGATATCATGAGTGCATAATATAGACTACATTATACACTATAGTCTATATTAGACACTATGTGTCTACAATAAACACTCCTGATGATATAAGCTGCGTTCACACGTATACACGGCCTAGCTGGTACCGTACTTAGTTGGTGCTAAGTTCGGGCTAAAATGCGTTCACACGAGATACACGAGATTCGAGGCTTAGCTAGCTAGGTATAATATAGACTGGTACCCGGTCAACAGTTCCACACGCTACCCTAACGTCGTGCAGCGAACGGGTAGCAGTCTAGGTTAGAGCGCTACAGTTTCGCAATTCGAATGCATACACACGACAAACAATACGCGGCCAGCGTGGTGCCGAATATACGCGGCTTAGTTGGCGCGGAATATGATTCCGCGCTAAGCAAGCCGGAGCAATCGCGGCTAAGCAAGCCGCGTATATTTTAGCGTGTGAACGCTTAAATACGGAACTAAAATCCTCGTGTGAACGCAGCAATATTAATAATAATAATAAAGTTCGTAGAATTTCTAGCGATCGTTCGGCGCCAACCCGCTCATCGTTGCCGCGCTCCTCCTTCCTTCGCAGCTGTACAAGCCGCTGAACACCTACATTGCGCTGACGGGCGTCGAGGTGTGGACGCACGAGGACGAGATCAAGCTGTCGGTGGATGGCGACGAGACACTCTTCAGCTTTCTCACCTACAGGCAGGAGCGGCTCATACCGAAGCACCCAAACGACAACGCCCAGCTCATCAGGTGAGTGCCGCGCGGCGGCGGCGCCCTCGTGTGACCGCGACATCACGGTAGCGACACCCCCTGTGTGACCGTGACGTCACGGTAGCGACCCCCTTCCTTGGGTGACCATGACGTCACCGTATCGGCTCCCTCGTGTGACCGTGACGTCACGGTAGCGACCCCCTTCCTTGGGTGACCATGACGTCACCGTATCGGCTCCCTCGTGTGACCGTGACGTCACGGTAGCGACCCCCTTCCTTGGGTGACCATGACGTCACCGTATCGGCTCCCTCGTGTGACCGTGACGTCACGGTAGCGACCCCCTTCCTTGGGTGACCAT